AAAAAAAAAAAAGAAGCATTGTATTTGTTATGTATACTTCTATTTACAGTTGTCGTGGCCGAGGTTGCAATTTATCAATAACGTATAGTTGATGTTGCATTTTATCAAAATTAAAAGATTAGATTGCAAAGCCAAAAAAGCCTCAAAGTTCAGGTTGGTCAAAATATTTTTCCCTTTTTATTTTAATAAAGAGAGTTATCCTTGTCTAAAAGTCTAATATGGTAACGGACTCTTAACTATTCGAATGCCATAATCGAAGTTTTACATACGTATTAGTGACTAACTTTAATAATATATTTCTCTTTAATCGAAAATTAGTTTGGATAAAAAAAAGTATACCATGATTATCTACGAGAACATAGAATTTTTCTACACACCCATAAAAAATAGTTAAAATCATGTCAATCCCAGTTTTTAATAACTTGTTTTCTAACATAATTATATAGGCAAATATAAGTTTTTTTTTTTTTTATTTTTTTAAAGAGGCAAACCAAAAATGAACATATCCCATTTTTCTCATTTCCGGCCAACAATTGTTTGTCCACAAAAATGCCCAAAATAAACAATCTTTATTGCTGCAAATAGCAAGATAAAAGTTCTTAATGAAATCTATACTTATATTAAAAGCCAACATATTTACCAAAAATAATAGCAAGAAAAGTCAACTCACATTTAATGCATACTTTATTTGGAAATTTTTTATGATATGCATTAATTGCTTGATATATACATTTCCTATTCTAATATGATCAAAAACATTTTTTCCTTAAATAATTTTATTAACTTTTGCAATGATTTTACTGATATATATTATAATTCATATTTGTCGATAGTATTTTTTAATTTTTATTTGAGTATATAAAAAACAAATATTTTTTTAAATCAATATTTTATTTATCATTTAAGAGATAATGATACATCATTAAATGATTTTACTGATGACTAGATAATAAATTAAAATACATTAATTATTCTTTAAAATTTTGGCATGTTATTTATTTGTATATCTATACTTATTATATAAGGTATCAGATTTAACAAATTTAGTAGATTGAAAAGTCAACGTAATTAATGCATTGTTATTTCTATCCAGAATTTTATTTAATTATTTTATTTATTTGTCTTATATCCCATAAAATCAGGTTAAGAAAAAAAACCCATAATATCTAACAAGTTAAAAAAAAGACGTAAAATCTTTACTAAAATAGAAAGACTTTATTTATTTGTCTTATTTCATATTAACGTCGATTTTGTCAAAACAAATCCCATAAAATCAGTGAAGTCAAAATTTGTACATAAAGTCTATCTATACTAAAAAGAAAAATCAGATTCAAAATTCTTTATCTAATTTTTTTTTCTTATCTAATTCCTTTTTATTATCTAATTATATGAAAATATGTTCTGATTTTGTTCAATCCTCTAATTGTATTTGTATTATATTCCATAAATCGGTTTAACAAAAAAAATCCCACAACATTTGATAAGTAAAAAAAACAAAGTATGTAAAATATTTACTAAAATAAAAAAAGGCTTTATTTATTATCTAATTGTATGAAAATCTGTTCCGATTTTATGGTACGTACTACAAATTGCGCACCCGTGTTCAGGAGCTACTTAACGGGCAAGCTCTGTGGAAATGACTCATTTAGTGTTTCTGTCCCGTGCATACGGTATGTATTTTTGTTACACATACTAGAAAATTATGCACCCCGTGCATCACACGGGCTCTGTACTAATAAATGAATTTAAAATTGTGCACCCCGTGCATCATCCTTATTCACATTTTGGTCTATTACAGGTCAAGTACTATATATATCCCGTACATTTTTTTATTCATTTGTATAATTATAAGACTGGATAAATGACCTTAAAATTGTGCACCCCGTGCATCGCACGGGCTCTGTACTAGTGTGGTAAATAACCAAAACATTAATACAGTTTTTTTCGTTAGACGGTCTAATAATTTGACGGGATGATATGTCATACTCCCTCTTTTTTTTTTAAATGTCATTCTAGCTTTATCAACTATTTGCTAAATAAATGTCGTTTTGGATCTTTTGTACAAATTTTTCCATTATTATCCTCATTTAGCTAATAAATACATGTCTTTTCATATTCACTCTTCACTTTTTCTCAAAACATTCATCTCTATCTTCATTAAATAAGGTTATTATTGACAAAAAAAATATTTTTAATTAGTGTACAACTTCTCAAAACGACATATATTAAAAATAGAAGGTAGTATTTTTTAATTATGAAATTGCAAGTTTTTTTTTTAAATAAAAAAAAAAAAGACATTTTAATTTTGAAAGTATATATATACAATAATTATAATTATCTAACCATTAGATTTAACTAAAATTATCCTATTACCAAAAAAAAAAAAATATATAGAAGGAAAACAAAATAATAGTCCATGGATTGATTTAAAAAAAAAAAAAAAAAAGTGTGTTGCTTTTCATACAAAAACTCTTGGAGTTTTATGATTGAGAGGGATAGAGATCGAGATTCCCTGCTCACTCCTCAGTGCTCCCTATCGCAAGTTGCAAAACAAAATGAGCCCCACCGGCCCTATACATTCTTGCATTTATCCATCACGGGTTTCCAATTAAACTACGCTTTTTCCTAATTCTCCCAAAATCTTAAACCCATATTTATTTATTTAAAAATGCTACACTCCCGTTACGTAATCATTGACTTGTAACCGTTAGATATCATGTATCCGTCTATCTATTAACAGTTACAAGCCCGACGGAATGATTCCGTAACCGGACCATAGAATCTTCCTTATTTACAATATGATTTCTACCGTCCATTCTCCTATAAATTCCACTCCTCAACACCTACACTTTCATATTTTTCACCCTCCACCAAAAAAACAGCTCAATGGCCCCTGCAAAACACTCTGTTTTCCTCTGTTTTCCCATCCTCTGCATTGTCCTTCTCAATTCCAGGTCCGTGTCCGCTCAGGCCCGGCCCGTATTCGCCTGCGACTTTTCGAGCAATCCCGGGCTCAAGAACTTGAGCTTCTGTGACCCGTCGCTCGACGTGAAAACCAGAGTCGGTGATCTGGTGGGCCGGCTGACATTGCAGGAGAAAATCGGGTGGCTCGTGAATGGCGCCAGTGGGGTGAGCCGGCTCGGGATACCCAACTACCAGTGGTGGTCCGAGGCTCTTCACGGAGTCTCTTACACCGGGCCGGGGACCAAGTTTTCGAGCCTCGTCCCCGGGGCCACCAGCTTCCCTCAGGTCATTCTCACCGGAGCAACTTTTAACGAGTCCCTGTTCGAAGCCATTGGGAAGGTACTATTTTTTCGCGGCGTGGCCCGTTTCATTTCAGAAAAATGTGTGTTTCTTCATTTTCGGGCTCTTGGTTCGGGCCTACTGCAGGCCCGTTCCTTTGGCTTTTGTCTCTATCAAGAAATCTGCATTGCGAATTCGTTGGTTCATATTTGTTTAAATTGGTTGTTTGTCGATTTTAAAATTTGGACCTATATGCAATTTTTATCTTTTTCTTTTTTAGCCACAACTTTGTGTTTTAGCTTTTCTTCAAGCATACTCATATAAATATTCAATGATGTAATTATTATTTTCTGTGATCATGAAAATTCCTACACAAGTATCACGAGATATCTGTTATTTTATCTTCATCTTTTGTTTTATATGCACCAAATTATTTAATTTTGTTAAAGCATATATTATAATATTTAAGACCCATGGCTACGTTACATGCAGAATGCAACTTTATATCTACCAACTACAGTACTGTATTGCTGCTGATGAATGCAACTGTCGTATTGGATACGTCGTTATTCTTATTTTTTCCATCTCAATAAATTTGGAGAAATGTTACGGTTTCGTTACGGAACAATTCCGTCGGAGTTTGTAATCGTAGATCAACTGTCCCCGACGGTTACATGATGATCTAATGGTTACAAACTCTGGCGTAATAGTTCCGTAGGTCAGTAGCACCTCCCATTAATTTAATGCATTAAAGTAACAAATTTTTGAATATGCAAATTGTTTACAACTCCTTTTGCAAAAGTAGGTAGGTTTGTTCATTATTGTAGTCCCAATCATCAATCAAGACTCATGGTACCTTTTGCTTTGATTAGTTGTTATCTACTGAAAAAAAAAAGATGAATGGATCTTTTTTCATTCCTATGTGGAGTGAATATCACGTTATTTAAAAAACATTTATTACAGGTTACTCTGTCTATTCATAATAATTAATACTTGTAAAATCATTTAATTTTAATCTTATTGTTTTGTTTTGTTTTTTTTTTTTCTTTATGTTTTTGGCTGTAGGTGGTCTCGACCGAGGCAAGAGCAATGTACAATGTGGGGCTAGCAGGATTGACATTTTGGTCACCGAACGTGAACATATTCCGAGACCCCAGGTGGGGCCGGGGCCAGGAGACACCCGGCGAGGATCCTCTGCTCAGCAGCAAATACGGGGCCGCATACGTAAGGGGCCTACAGCAAACGGACGACCGCGACAAAGACCGCCTCAAAGTTGCTGCCTGTTGTAAGCACTACACTGCCTATGATGTGGACAACTGGAAAGGCATACAGAGATACAGTTTCAACGCTCGGGTAACTTTCACTAATTACAAAATGTTCCCTATGTTGAACCCGATTGCAGTAAGTTCCGGTTTTCCTTTATGAATATTCGAAATGTGCCCTGAGGGAGTGATTCGTAATGCTGAAACTTAGAATGTGGAAGCAATATTGAGTAGTTTTTGAAAGAATGTGGGTTTTGATCGTCAAATATGTTACTTATTTTATTGTACTTTTTTCTTGTTGAGTTAGGTGACACAGCAAGATTTGGACGATACGTTCCAACCACCATTCAAGAGCTGTGTTCTTGATGGAAATGTCGCGAGTGTGATGTGTTCTTATAATCAAGTTAACGGCAAGCCGACTTGTGGTGATATCGATTTGCTTTCTGGCGTGATTCGCGGCCAATGGAAGTTGAATGGGTACATTGTCAAATTTTGATTATTCATTTTAATTCTTCTTTATCATGTTTGGTTTCCAAATTAAGTCACCAATAGTTAGAGGTGGCAATGGGCTCGTAGGGAGTCGGTTTTTTTATTTTTTGTTTATACATAGTTGGTCGACGACCTCTGTAGGGTGATACATGCTCGGTTTATTGATAAAGAAAATGAGATATAAAATAGAAAATTATACAAAAGAAGTGACTGGAAAATAGTGAGCTTGCTGATGTGTGTTTCGATTGGGTGCATGCAGGTACATTGTTACCGATTGCGATTCATTGAACGAGATGTTCAACAGCCAGCACTACACGAAAACACCTGAGGAAACGGCTGCCTTGGCTTTGAACTCAGGTGTTGTACAAGTTTCGTGTTTTACCTAGGACTCGTCACAAACTATACTGCTAGTTGTGCTTTGACCCCACTCTTGATGATACAATAACCTAGACTAATTTTTCTGTCTGGCACTAAGGACCAACATCGGGCAGGCCCGTATGGACCGTTTAACAAATACCTAATCACTCCCAACTTTAATAAGTAATTGATGTGTGCCACTTTTGTTTAGGTGTGGATCTTAATTGTGGGGACTTCCTGAGCAAGCATGCACAGGCTGCAGTGGACCGCGGCCTCGTGAATGAGACGGTGATCAATGGGGCTGTGTGGAACAATTTTGCAACCATGATGAGATTGGGCTTCTTTGATGGTGACCCAGCCAAGCAGGCCTACGGGCAGCTAGGCCCAAAAGACGTGTGCACTGCTGCCAACCAAGAGCTGGCCCGCGAGGTCGCCCGCCAAGGGATCGTCTTGCTCAAGAACAGCAAGGGCTCGTTGCCCCTGTCTGCAGCTAGCATCAAGTCCTTGGCCGTGATCGGACCAAATGCCAATGTGACCCACACAATGCTCGGTAACTATGAAGGTAATACCTTGAACGAAAAAGAGAGTAATACATAGAAGATGAGTTATTTAGTTTTTTTACACATGAACAAATTTGCAGGCAGTCCATGCAAATATACGACCCCGTTGCAGGGCTTGACGGCCTCTGTCCACACAGTGTACCATCCGGGCTGTGCTGATGTGTCGTGCGGGTCAGCACAGGTGGATGCGGCCAAGAATATAGCAGCGGCGGCTGATGCAGTGGTCCTCGTCATGGGCTCAGACCAATCTATAGAGAGAGAGAGCCTGGACAGGGTGAGTATCACTCTCCCAGGGCAACAACAGCTTTTGATCTCCCAAGTTGCGAATGTATCCAAAGGGCCCGTGATTCTTGTTATAATGTCCGGTGGGGGCATGGATATCCAGTTCGCCAAAGATAATCCTAAGATTAGTAGCATAATGTGGGTTGGTTTTCCTGGCGAAGCTGGTGGGGCTGCCATTGCTGATGTCATTTTTGGGTATTACAATCCAAGTAAGTATATCTTGTATGTGTGTGTGTGTGTGTGTGTTTTTTTTTT